ATGAGCTGAGATCTGAAAGATACAAAGATCTGTATTTCAATCCAATGGAACTGCATGAACACAAGTCCTATGATGGATAAAGTGCTCCAATTCTCATTCTAGATCCTTAAAGAGCAGTGAGCATAGAAAGTAAACAGTACAAAATGAGGCTCAATGGTAACAGCCATTCTGTTTTAGGTGAAAGGCCCAACAACTTTAATCATTTCATATACTAGCTCATTTAATACTTTGAACTATGTAGAAGTGGTCCTAATCATTTTGTTAAAGTGTAAGAGCAATTTAACACCAATGGAAGGGTTTTAAGCTACAGGTAGGAGTTGGAGTAGGAGAACTGCCTTAAAAACTGCACTCTGGGCAGGACACCAGTAGTTCATGCCTGTAATCCTACCTACCCAGAAGGCAGAGATCTGAGGATCACAGTTCAAAGCCAGCTGGGTAGGAAAGTCCGTGAGACTCTTATCTCCAATTAACTACCAAAATAAGCTGGAAGTGGTGCTGTGGCTCAAGTGGCACCTAGGCCCAGAGTTCAAGCCCCTGGACCAGCAAAAAAACAAAAACAAAAAGCAACAACTCTGCACTCTGAATTAAAAAGGATTCTGCTTACAGAAGGGAGAGTTCCAGGAGAGCCAGAATAATTGCAAGAAGACCAGGGAGGAGACAATGCAATCATGCAGACAACGGTGATGATGCAGCCAGGATTTGGAGTGGTGAAAAGTGAAGCAAGCTCAAGAGGTGAAATGACGGTACTTGGTGATGACATGATGGGGAGTGAAAGATGTCTTAACATAGTTATAGGTTACCAGTTTGGGAACCAAGATTGGCTAAGATGTCAGACACTGAGAAAGATACTTTGACTAGACTAAAACGGAAAATCGTTAGAGCAAATACAACTTTCATAATGGCATGCACTGAACAATAAAAATGTAAAACCCAGGAAAGTCTGTGCAGTTAAATGTTTCCACGTATGTTTTCCTGTGATCATACACCATCTTAATAGGCCTAACTAGCATATGGTGGTATTTTGAGGTTCTTGGGTAATATGAAATGCATGAAATTAAAAAGGAAAACATAGAAAATCTACATGAAAACTATACTATCAAAAAAAACCCCAAAAACCAGTGTGACCCTGGCATTAAAAACATACAGAGACTACAATACACAATGAAACACAATATACAGCACAGAAATAAGTCCATGCATTTAGAATCAATTGAGCTTTCAAAAAAGTTCCAAAAACACACAATGGGGAAAAGATATTCTCTTCAACAAATGGTGCTAGAGAAGTTTTTTGTTTTGTTTTGTTTTTAATATAACCCCAACACACAAGCAACAAAAGCAAAAACAAACAGGATTATAATCAAACTGAAAAGCTTCTGCCCAGCAAAGCAACCATCAGCAGGGAGGATAAGAGATATACCACCTCCATTTGTATATCTGATAAGGGATACTATACAAAATATGTAAAGAATTCAGTTCAACAGCAAAGAAACAATCTAATTATAAAAATGGGCAAATGATCTGAACATCTCTTAAAAAGAAATATACAAACAGGGATATTAAAATCTGCTCCTTACGGGCTGGGAAGGTGGCTCAGTGGTAGAGCGCTTGCCTTGCATGCCTGAGGCCCTGGGTTCAATTCCCCAGCACCACATAATTAAAAAGAAAAAAGCCGGAAGTGGCGCTGTGGCTCAAGTGGTAGAGCGCTAGCCTTGAGCTGAAGAGCTGTGGGACAGTGCCCAGGCCCAGAGTTCAGGCCCCACGACCGGACCCCCCCCCAAAAAAATAATCTAAATGTTAACTAATAAATGGATAAAGGAAACATGGAATTCATACACAATAGAATACTACTCAGCTTTGTGTGTATGTGTATGTGTGTGCACGCGTGCACCTGTGCATGCACCAATACTGTAGCTTTAGCTCAGGGCTTCCTGCTCATACTTTTGGCTTGATGGCATTCTACCATTTGAACCACACCCTTATGTCAGGCTTTTGCTGGTTAACTGGACATAAAGTGTCTCACAGACTTTTCTAACTGGGCTGGCTTCAAACTTCAGTGTCAATTTTCAGCTAGGATTATAGGCATACTCAGCCTTTTGTAAAAAGGAAACCCTGCAATTTATAACAAGGATGAACCTAGAGGCATTATGCCAAGTATAATAAGCCAGGCATAGAGACACAAACACTGCATGATCTCACTTTTATGTGGCTTGCAAGAAAGTTGTATGCATAGAAACAGATATTAAAATGGTGGTTATCAAAGGCTATGGGGGTTGGTGTGGGGAAATGTTGGTCAAAGCATACATATGATTTCAGTTAGGAGGAATAAATTCAGAACATATACATCACGGTGACTATAGCCAATAACAATATGCTACTATTTATTTGAAAACTGGTGAGAATAGATTTTTAAGTATTACAAAAAAATGAGGTAATATGTATGTTAAATAGCTTGATTTAGCCGTTCCACAATAAATACCAATAGCAAAAACATCATATATCATAAAGATTTCACTTTTACTTACCAATTAAAAATTTAAAAAACATAGCTCTCCTAAAGAAAAATAAAAAAAACACAATTACCATTTCCAATCCCTGATCATTAGCATCTATTTGTTAGAGATATAACCAACACAATTTAAGATATGACAACTCTATTTCTAATTAATAGTCATTTCTGGTATTTCTCACCCTGTTAAATACTTCCTTGATGCAAAAATAGTCCCATTACTTTCAAGTAATTTGAATAATACACACTACTAAAAATATTATAGTCATCTTAAAAGGCAAACAGGTAAGACAGTGACTCTTGCCCTATTCCTAACCCAGCAAATCTGTGAATTATGAAGCTAAAATGAAAGTATAGAACTGGGCTTTAAGTCAAAAGCCTGACTGTGGGTCTAGCTGACTCACTTGATCTTCCTGTCTTCAGGGTTTATTGTTGGTTTTGTTGTTTCTTTTCCCAAGCTCCCCAAAACCAAATAATATCTACTTCTCAGGTTGGTTGTGGGAATTATATTGGGTAATGTTTTGGAGGTGTTTCATAAAATTTAAAGTTCTATAAAAAATACTACTTCTTATAAACTAAAAGAAACCTAACAAAGTATATATAATGCTCAAAATATTATCATCTCTGTTGTTTATGATTTGTTTGGGAAGGGCATGTACCTTGAAAAGGAATAAGGAAATATTTCGATTCTATAATATTAAACAATTATAATATACCATAGAAAAAATTTAAATTTATATAGAAAGGTCAATCTTGAGAACAACACAATTGGCTCAAAAGAAGTTAATGTGGGGGCTGGGAAGGTGGCTCAGTGGTAGAGCGCTTGCCTTGCATGCATGAGGCCTTGGGTTCGATTCCTCAGCACCACATAAGCAGAAAAAAAAAGCCGGAAGTGGCACTGTGGCTCAAGTGGTAGAGCGCTAGCCTTGAGCTGAAGAGCTAAGGGACAGCGCCCAGGCCCAGAGTTCAGGCCCATGACCCGACCCAAAAAAGAAAAAGTTAATGTATCATCAGTCCTTTTCAGTGAGACGGCCTTTGCTGCTGTTTATGTACCTATACAAATAAAAGGACCTACACTATACATTTAAAACCTTTAATTATACCTTTGTATTGACTCTACGGCTACTATACAGTTTTAGAGTAATATAGTTTAACACTATTTTTAAAATACTCCAAGGTAAAACTTTAACATTATGTACTGAGCTACAGCTTCAGTTCCCCATACAGTGCATATATTTCTAAGTAAGGTCAATTAAAATGACAGAAAAGGTGAGCAAGTTTTCACTGTTTTCAGTAAAACCTAAATCACCCGCTACTTTAACTTAATGTAAATGAAATAGGTACTTCTCCCAAGCACTCGGTGTAGGGGCAGCTATGTAAGTCATGCCAAACAAGCAAAGCACCATCAAGTGTTGCAATGTGGTTTAGAATTCTCAAGTATCCTAAAGAAAGCAGTTACAACTATTTCATGTTCTACTTAGATATGTTTAAGCAACTTTTTAAAAAGTTAACTGTGAGATGGTAGGCATGTTAATTTGCTTTACTACACTAATCATCCCATTATGTGTTTGTATACAAAAACATCACACTGTATGCCTTAAGTATATATATTTTTTTTTAAAGAAAAAAATGCCAATTTTAAAATAGACAGCATTTACTTTCATTCTATTGGAAATATAACTTAAATCCTTTTCCAAAAGCTTTTCTTAAACACTCTCATACTTTTATTTCATAAACATGATTGCTGAGATTCTCTCATCTTCAACATTAATCTCTAGAAAATAGAATTCAAATTTTACCAATGACTCATTATAGAAGATTTTGTGTGTGCATATATATACACACATATATATCAGATAGAGCTTTAATCAAAACTAGCTTTATAAATTCAGTGTGCAAATACCCATGTAAAATAATACAATGGTATGAATTGTTTTATGTGTGTGAAAAAAAATTCTCCAAACCATTCTTCTTAAAGAAAGATAAAGAAATATAAATAGTATTAATTATAATTTTTATAGTAACAAATGCTGTCAAATTTAGCAGTTAAATTACTCTTCTAACAATAAATGTTTAAAGGAATGTACAAGTAATGCTTTTTAAGTCACTTGGCATATACTCTTAATATTTGTGCTTTTTTATTTTTACATTTGTACCATCTTTTTGTTGAAAATTATAGCTTCTACAAACAGAGTTTACCACATCATTTTAAAAGTGGGTTTTTTTTCACATTTTTAAGTAAATTTGTAAGTCCAGAAAGGTGAAGATATTTTAGAGTTCTTAAACTCAGTAATTATATAATTACTGATTAGAAATTTTACAGTAATTAAATAATTATAGATTTAAGTACATAATTTTAATAACATTTAAATGTAAGCCTCTTTATTTTACATTAGCCCTAAGAGCATCTGAGTCTGTAATAACAGTAAATTATTAACACACAGAAATAAATTCAACAATCTGCATGAACACAGAGGTTTTCATTGTCTTTTTAAAAATGTATATGAGATATTAAAATTAGGAAATGGTATCTTCTTTTCGCTAGGCATGTAATTATTTTACAGTATGTGCTGATTTCTAGTTTACACCAGTTGAGAAGAAGGTTAAATCCCAAACATAAAATAGGAGAGATTGTAATGCTCATTTATAATAACTTTCTAAAAATGGCTTTGGAACAGTCACAACGTCATCACATTCCATTTCATTTTATTTTCAAGAAAAGGAAAGTCTTCCACTAATTGATAACATCTGAATTGTAAACATAACTTTCCTACTCCATAGCTGTGACCTGAGTTCTGATGGCTCTTGCTGCTATTCAGCTGTCATCTTCTTTAGATGATGAAGAAGTGCATCTTTTTCCAAGTGAGCCTCTGCAAGAGCCATTTTAGCTTTAGCCAGTTCTTGTTTAAGTGATTCATTCTCTTCCATGAGCTGAAATAATACATTTGGAAAACATAAGGAACGTCATCATTTCCAGGAAATATAGTTTATTCATGGGTATGACATTTGGGATTAAAAAAAAATCACTGTTGCAAAGAGCCCACTTAAGCTAAAAACTGCTTTGAGAAGCTATTGGGAAACACTTATCATGCAATTTAAAACGTCCTAAGTTTTTATCCAGCAATTTAAAACTCTAACTCTTCATTTCCAATTTAATAAAGGATCTTTGGATTTCTCTGTGGCCTTAGACATTGCAGACCCTTTCTCCTTCCAAGTGTCTCCTTTTTCACTTTGTGTGTTTGTTTTTAATTGGCGGTACTAGGGTTTGAACTGAGGCCTTTGCACTTGTTATAGAAGTGCTATATTTTGCGCGATGAATCCAGTCCTATTTTACAACACCTATTTTGAAATAAGATCTTTTGTGCTGTCCAGGGCCCATGCCTGGACCACAATTTTCCTGTTTATCATGCTTTCCACTTAGCTGAGGCAACAGATGTGTACTAACACTCCCAGCTTTTTTCTGTGTGAGTCTCTTGAACATTTTCCCCTGGCTCTCCTGGAATAGAAAGCCCTCCAATCTCTTAACTCCTGCACAGCTATGATGTTAGGCAAGTGTTACCACATCCAGCTATTGGTTGAGAAGACGTTTTATATACTAATTGCCTGGACAGGCTTAAAGCTGTCATCTTACCAATCTCAGCTTCCCATGTAGCTTAGAGTTATAGATGTGAGCCACCATGCCTAGATCCATTTCCAGCTTTTATGCCATACATAGTTCTTTCATGTTTATCCCTCTTGACTTATGCCACTTTTCATCTTTTCCTAAACTTTTTTCTTTTCTGTGTGTGTGCGTGTGTGTGTATTGTGTGCACACACATGCATGTGCATGCACACACCTGCCAGTTCTGCTAGTTCTTGGGCTTAAACTCAGGACCTGGGCACTATTCCTGAGCTTTTTTGCTCAAGGTTATCACTCTACCACTTGAGCTCCACAGCTCCACTTCCAGCTTTTTGGTGGAGATAAGCACCTCACAGACTTCCTGCCTGGACTGGCTCTTAACCTAGATGCTCGGATCCTCAGCCTCCTGAGTAGCTAGGATTACAGATGTGAACTATGGGTGCCATAGGTCCTTTTTTTTTATTTCTTAAGAAGGCTTATATTGTCATTCTATTAGATTTAATGGTTGGTTGTTTTCTCTTATCATTTAAGTCATTCTCTTGGGTATCTCCTCTGTAGGTAGACTGAGCTAGCATTAAACTTCCTCTTGAGTTCCAGACTCACATTCTGAACATAATCCAATAGGCATTTTCTTACAGATGGGCCAATAGCTCTGTCCTCCTTTTTAAGACTTAGTTCAAGCATTTTGTCTCCTTAGAGGAATTTGCTAACCCATGTAAGTATGAGGATATGATAAAGCCACAGTCTTCCTATATATACAGAGATGCATTAAATCATAGCTTCTAATTTCAAAGAGTTCCCAAATTAAGTGGGGGTAATTCCAATCAGAGGTGTAGCCCCTGAGACAAAATGTCCTAACCAGTGATTGCAAACTCTTTCCTGATAGACTGAATTTTTCAATACAAGGACTGTATAGGGTTTGATCAAGAATCTACAGGAATACATAAATCCTCATTTAGCAGGTTCTATCACATATAACTCAAATTCTGCTAAACATTTTTTTTATAGTAACAGGAAATAAATAATGTGAATGTTAACCAATGTTAAGAGAATTCAGAAATGATCATATATCCTCAGCTGTCAAATTAGGAGGATGTCAGCCATTACAATAGCTGAGGATATATTATCATTTGTATGAAGCAAATGTAGCCATATGAAAAGCTTGCTGAAAACATAAAAATATACTTGAATAAGCTTTTAAAAGGCCCAAGAATAAAAATAACAAATATATTATTGTAAGATTGTACAAGGAATTAGTGTTTTCTTTATCTTAACACTAAAACCATACTTTCTAGCACAGTACTGTACATAACGGGTATTCAATATATTTTATTTAAGTAAACAAATGTTGTTTTAACTATTAATATATTACTGTTATTTGATTACTCTAAATTAGGCTTCCCATTACCTGTTCCTTAGTAAAGTGAAGTGAGCACTCAGGAACATCTGGGCTTGTCTGAGTGGCTTGAGTGACACTGGGCTGTTTCTTCAGATCGTACGTATCACCAGTCATCAGCACTGAATCACTTTTGAAATCTTCTTTCAAATCATTTTCGGTGTTAAACATATGAGAATCTGATCAAGCAAATAAAAGACTCAAGTAACATTTCCAAATATCTGACATCTTTAAATTGTTGTAAAAAAAAACTATTTTAAAAATGATATCCCCATTAATGAGTACAGCATGGAAGGGGAAGGGCTGGGAAGGTGGCTCAGTGGTAGAGTGCTTGCCTTGCATGCATGAGGCCCTGGGTTCGATTCCTCAGCACCACATAAGCAGAAAAAAAAGCCAGAAGTGGTGCTATGGCTCAAGTGGTAGAGCACTAGCCTTGAGCTGAAGAGCTGAGGGACAGCGCCCAGGCCCAGAGTTCAGGTCCATGACTGACAAAAAAAGAAAAAAGAAAAATAGCGGGGAAAAAATCAGTAAAATCAAAAGTTCATTCTTTGAAAAGATCAGGACAACTGACAAATCTTTAGTTAAGACTAACCATGAAAAAAAAAGAAATTACTTAAATTAATCAAATGAATTAAATACCTAGCAACATACTATAAGAAACTAATATACAGAGCCGGGGGGCCAAAGGCTGAGATCTTAGGCTCACGGTTCAAAGCTAGCCTGGGCAGGAAAGTCAGTGAGACTCTATCTTTCCAATAAACCACTCAGAAAACAGGAAGTGGTTCTGTGGCTCAAGTGGCAGAGTACTAGCCTTGAGCTGAAGAGCTGAGGGACAGTACCCAGGCCCAGAGATCAAGCCCCATGACTATCGACAAAAAAAAACAAAAAAAAAAACTAATACACAGAAAAGTACTGTATTATATGAAAAATTCATATAAGGTAATAAAGAATGCCTCATTAAAAAGAAGTAGAATTAGCCAGATGCCGGTGGCTCACACCTGTAATCCTAGCTACTCAAGGAGGCTGAGATCTGAGGATCACAGTTCAAAGCCAGCCCAGGCAGGAAAGACTCTGAGACTCTTATCTCCAACAAACAACTAGAAAACCAGAAATGTCACAGTGGCTCAAGTGGTAGAGTGCTCACCTTGTGCTGAAGAGTTAAGGGACTGAGTCCAGGCCCAGAGTTCAAGGAAGAGAAGAAAGAAGCAGAGAAAAGGAGGGAGGGGAAGAAGGAAAGCAAATGGGAAAAAGGGAAGGAGGAAGGAAGAAAGGGGGGCAGAAATAACTTTGGAAAGATGGAACATAGGTTAGAAGCAATTCTACATTTATTTATTTTTTTTTTTTTTGTCGGTCATGGAGCTTGAACTCTAGGCCTGGGTGCTGTCCTTAAGCTCTTCAGCTCAAGACTAGCACTCTACCACTTGAGCCACAGTACCACTTCCAGTTAGAAGCAATTCTAAAGAAACAAGAAGGTGCCGGGCATCGGTGGCTCACGCCCGTAATCCTAGCCACTCAGGAGGCTGAGATCTGAGGATCATGGTTCAAAGCCAGCCTGGGCAGGAAACTCCATGAGACTCTAATCTCCAATAAACCACTAGAAAACCGGAAATGGTGCTGGGGCTCAAGCGGTAGAGCACTTGCATTGAGCTGAAGAGCGCAGGGAAAACAACCAGGCCCAGAGTTCAAGCCCATGACTGACAAAAAAACAAAACAACAACAACAAAAAAAAAAAACAAAGAAAAACAAGAAGGTGATTAAAAAACAAAACTATAAATTCTATTACAAGAAAAAGACCAGATTGGGTGCATACATAAAATAATAATGGAGCAGGGCGCTGGTGGCTCAGGTTGTAATCCTAGCTACTCAGGAGGAAAGTCCGAGAGACTCTTATCTCCAATAAACCACTAGAAAACCGGGAAGTGGTTCAAGCAGTAGAGAGCTCACCTTGAGCTGAAGAGCACAGGGACAGGGCCCAAGCCCAGAGTTCAAGCCCCACCACCACCACCACCAACAACAACAACAAAAGAATAATGGGTACAGGTGGCTCACACCTGTAATCCTAGCTACTCAGGAGGATGAGATCTGAAGAGTGCAGTTCAAAGCCAGCCTGGACAGAAATTAACTATTCAAAAACCAGAAATGGCTCTGTGGCTTAAGTGGAAGAGCACTAGCCTTGAGCGCAAAGAGGCTCAGGGACAGTGCTCAGACCCTGAGTTCAATACCCACAAATGATTAAAAAAATATATATAGTGGGACCAAGTATCAATGCCTCTTACTTATAATCCTAGCTACTCAGAAGGCTGAGACTTCTGAATCAAAATTCAAAGCCAGCCAGGCAGATAAATATAATACTCTTAGCTCTAGTTAACTAGCAAAAAGCCAGAAGTGGAGGCATGGCTCCAGTGATAGAAAACAAGTTGTAAGTGAAAAAGCTGAATAAGAATTCAAGGCCTGGAGTTCAAGCACAAACACACACACAGACACACACACACAGACACACACACACACACACACACAGAGGAAGAGAAAGAGGGAGAGGGAGAGAAACAATTGAGAAATAAAGCTAAGAATTCAAGTAGAAGCAGATTTAAGATCAAGAACCATATAAAACCATAAAAACCTCTCTCATTTTCATTCAAGACAGATTTGCAAAACAAGTATTAAGATAACTATAGATGAGTTATTTTCAGGTTCTATGTATTGATGGTATTTTATTGTAATGCACTTAAAGTATTCCTCAATCATCTACTACTGCAAATATACACACATAAACAATGACTGGGGAAGAAAACCATCAGAAACAATCTGCAGGTAAGTAATTTAACTTCAAAATCAGAGGTGATCATTTGTATTATTTTTCATACATACCTCTGATATGAAAAGAGCCATCATCATTTCTCTCTACCACAAGATGATCAATATGTACAGTTACAGGAGTTGGTTCAAGGGATGTTGTACTACTCCGAGGACTGTCATCCTAGAGGTAGGAGAAATATTTGTATGTTCTTAGTAAAGTAGGTGACAAAATCAATGTAAATACGAACTGCTTCTATCAATCCTAATTTAAATGAGTTACAAACATGTCAGTATAAGCAGTGGTTGATACATAGCATCAAAACATAAAATTATCTATTAACTTACTTTCAAATTTATTTTTGTGTTAGAAACTTGTATCTTCATTGGCATTACTGTTGCAATAGTTTCATCTTCCAAAAAATGTTGAATATTTGTAAGAGAAGATGTAAGGAATTCAGTGCTGAAGTTTTCTATATGGCATTGCAAAAATCCATTTTTTTCTGCTAGCAAAGAGTGCATGACAGCACCAGGCCCACTTTCAAACCTCAGAGCAATCTCAGGAGAGGATTTGGAGTGAATCGTAGATTTCTGATCAGAACCTTAGGAAATGATCATTAAAAAAAAGCATAGCTTTATAAAGCTAATAAAATATAACTATAATTATTAAGAAACTACAGTAAAATGAAGTTAATTTGTATATTAAAGCAATAATAAAATCATTTTAATATTTACTCGCAATTTAGCTGATGTTCTATAATATGTATAAAACACACCATGCATATAATACTACATTGCTACCTTTTTTGTGGTAACTTTCTACTAAAGAATGTTAAGCTTTCTTTTTTGGGTAACAGAAAAAAAAAAAACAAATCATGATATAAATCTTAGACAATACACATCAGATATTTAAATATGTGTTTATGTGACTGACACATATCAGATATATAGAGTGTGTTTACGTGAGTACTATCTATACATCTGTAGTACAATAGACAACTATGATGAAGAAAGTCACGATTATGAAGCAATAAAAACTTAAGGTTTGGTACCATCCTATTAAACTGGGTCTTTAAATAATACAAAGTAAATACAGAATTTATCACTTAAAAATATTTATATCAGAAGACAAATCTAGCCATAATCTGTGTGGTGCAGACCTATAACCCTAACACCCAGAAGGCTGAGGCAGGAGAATCACTAGTTCAAGGCCAGGTTGGGATAGAGTGAGAAAAAGAAAATCTGAGACAGTTGAAACTGTAAGGTATTAGCACTGACTATATAAGCTACACATGTAAACACTTAAAAATAAGTTAGAAACGGGCTGGGAATGTACCTTAGTGGTAGAGGGCTTGCCTAGCATGCATGAAGCCCTGGGTTTGATTCCTCAGTACCACATAAACAAACAAACAAAAAAAAAGCCAGAAATGGCGCTGTGGCTCAAGTGGTAGAGTGCTAGCCTTGATCAAAAGAAGCTCAGTGCCCAGGCCCTTAATTCAAGCCCCAGAATTTGGGGGGGGGGGGGGGGGAGTTAGAAACAAATGAAACAATGTAATAGGATGGGTGCGCTGAGAGGGGTGGGGAAAGGGACCATAAAGGGGCCCGGGAGGGCGGAGGTAAGGGGGACGATACATAAAAATGGTTTGACTGTAGAACCTAGAACTCTATCACCTGAAGTATGCCTCCAGTCCATCTTACAGTTTTTTGTTTTTTTTTTTGGTCAGTTATGGGGCTTGAACTCCGGGCTTGGGCGCTGTCTCTGCACAAGCGCTCGAGCTTGAGCTACAGCGCCCACTTCCGGTTTTCTAGTGGTTTATTAGAGATAAGAGCTTCATGGACTTTCCTGCCTGGGCTGGCTTTGAACCGTGATCTTCCGGATCTCAGCCTCCTGAATAGCTAGGATTATAGGCGTGAGCCACCACCCAGCTTCCATTTTACTTTTTAGTTACTGTTCAGATTAGGGACTTGCTTTTTATCTGGAGCTGGTCTCAAAATATAATTCTTTTCCTCATGCCTCCCACACAGCTGGGATCAGAGATGTGCCCCACCATGCCAACTACCAACTTCTCCAGGTTGGGTTCAAACCACAATCTTCCTAATCTCCTCTTCCCAACTAGATGAGATGAAGGTATGAGCCACTATACCCAGCCTAGAATAAGGTAAACGTGAGCTATAGATAAGGAAAAAAAAAAAGGTAGGCACCTGAATATAATCTGAGTATACTCTGAAAAGTATTGGAGTTAGGTAAAGAATGGGGTCCAGGTTTTGAAATATTAAATCATATGAAATATGAATCCTCTACAAATATAAATTTATATGAATTTAACTTCTTCCATTTTGCAAATTATTAAGATTTTTTGTTAATAACATAAAATCTTGAATTTTGATGGCTCTTGCCTATAATCCATCTGAGGATTGTTGTTGGAAGCCAACCTGGGCAGGAAAGCTCATGAGACTCTCATCTCTAATTAACTACCAGAAAACCAAAGTGGAACTGTGGCTCGAAGTAGTAGAATAGTAGTCTTGAGCACTAAAGCTCAGAGACAGTGGCTGGGACCTGAGTTCAAGCCCCACTAGCAAAAAGAAAAAAGAAAAAACACAACTTGAATTTTAGTAGGTATGTGGTAAATGCAAGATAAATTTACCTATGGTGTTGGCTTATAAACAAATGCAATTTCCAATTTGTGATGTAACAACATACTTATCTGACACAAGACTACATTGATTTCTATATATTACATGCCAAATATATGTGTGTGTATATATATATATTTATTGATTGATTTTAGTGCTGGTTCTAGGGCTTGAACTTAGGTACTAGACACCGACCAAAAGGTCCTTGTGCTCAAAGCTGGTGCTCTACTACTTTAACCATGGCTCCACTTCTGTCTTTTTTGGGGGAGGAGGGGAGAGAGTTCTGGTGGTTAATTGGAGATAAGAGGCTAGCAAAAATAATAATATAGCTCATTGACTTTTATTCTCAAATGCAAGTTTTCTGGAGTTCAGTTACATAAAAGACAAGACTTCAATGTGTCATATAGAAAATGATTTTAAATCATGTCATTTCATGTAAAAAACTTTTTTTAAGTCTTACCTATGGGACGATTGCAAAGGTAGTGGCGAAGACTGATATTACCTAGCTGATTTGGTGTCACCTGGTTTACCTGAAGACATATCTCTGTATCTTCTCCTCGAATGTCAATTTCCCCATTCACACCGGTAATTTTAAACACCACAACTGACATCTAGTAATGATTGTATGAATATATAATTAGTTTATCAAAACAGTTCTAGGAAAGATAAAAGAACTATTAATCTCTAAAAATACAACAGTGACTTCTCAAATTACTGACCTGAAGAATATGGTTGTTGCATTATAAAAGTTGAGCATCTCTAATTCAAAAATCAGAAAAGTGAAATACTTGCTCCACATGGAAAATCCCACAGAATGAAACTTTGTTTCATGCATAAGATTGTTAAAAATATTGTAAAAAATTATCTTCAGGCTATGTGCATAAAAGTTTACATGAAATATGAATTTCATATTCTGACTTGGGTCCTATTCCCAAAATGTCTCATTATGTATATACATATATTAAGAAATCTGAAATTCAAAACATTTTATCATACAATTTTGGATAAAGGATATTCAACCTGGAGAGACCAAGTTCAGATCTTTTTTTGCGGGGGAAGGAGGGTCATAGGGCTTGAACTCTGGGCCTGGGCACTATCCCTCAGCTCTTCAGCTCAAGGCAAGCACTCTACCACTTGAGCCACAGCACCATTTCCAGTTATCTGAGTGGTTTATTGGTGATAAGAGTCTAACAGACTTTCCTGCCTGGCCTGGCTTTGAACTGAGATCTTCAGATCTAAGCCTCCTGAGTAGCTAGGATTACTGGCGTGAACCACCAGCACCCGGCTAAGTTCAGATCTTTTTTCACTTATCTCTTTTGAAAATGACAGAGATTCCAGGTCATTAATTTTTAAATGATTTTCACTAAGTTGATCACATTTCATAAGAATGTTTCTTTTTTGTTGTTTTCTAGGTAGGGCAAAATGAGTGTACAGATATGGAGGGAGGGTGAGCAAATGCAGTTATTGTATTCAATATATATTATGTAAAATATGAACTACACAATTGTGGGCAGGAACAGGAGGGGTTAAATGGAGTAAAGGAAGGAGTGACACAGTCCGAGAAGCATTGTACTCATTAACTGACTTATGAAATTATAACCCCTTTGTACAACTTAATAACAATTTTAAAAAGAATATTTCACTAGATAATAAGTGCTTAAAAGAAAGTAGCAATATATTTCCTTTGTAGAAAGCTCCACATTAGCCAATTATAGTGGTTTATTCCTTTAAGTCCAGCACTTGGGAGTCTGAAGCAGAAGGAGGCCAATCTGCATTATATAATGAGGCCCTGACTCAAAAATAAAAATCTCCTTCTTATAAGGATTTGCCTTTGCTTCCTCCTTTCCACCAAGGAACTAAAATGTAATTCAAGAACCAAAGAAAAACAGACCCTCTCTATGAATAAAAACAAATTAGAAAAGCAAAAATATAGGAAAAAATACTTCATCAAGCAAGAAGGAAACATTTTTTCTAGCGTAGGAAGAGCAAAGCAATTCATCTACCATCTAGAATTCACTTTACATATTTATGTCTTAAAACATGTACATATCAAATATGAAATAAAGTTAGTGACTTCTTTTTTCCCATGAATCCCTTTAAATGATTACCAGGTCGTCATGGGCTTCTTGAGCACCCTCTGAATTTGTACTAATGGCATCTGGAGAGTTTTCCCCGTAATTTTGCACGTTTGCACTGGCATTCATACACTCTGCTGGGCTCTGGTAATTTGTAGTCGAGTTCTTTTTAATTCCTGAAACACAAAAGTAAAGTAGAGCCAGGTGCTGGTGGCTCATGCCTATAGTCTTGGCTACTCAAGAGGCTAAGATCTGAGGATCATAATTCAAAGGCAGCCCAGGCAGGGAAATCTATGAGACTTTTCTCCAATTAACCACCAAAAATGATGGAAGTAGAGCTGTGGCTTACGTGGTAGAGCACTAGCCTTGGGCATAAAAGTTTAGGGACAACATTCAGGCTCTGATTTTTGGCATACACACAAAAAAAATAAAGTAACAGACTGAAATCACTTTCATACAGGATCTAACAATGTCATGTTTATTTAATCAAAACAGACTATCACTTCCACTCATGATTGCTTAAAAGCAGCCGGCAAAAAAAAACCAGATTATGGTTAGCTAGCAAATAATGAGAAATCATTTCCTCGAAGACATAAACTTAGTATGAAAAGATCTCACAATGCTGAACACAGAAGTAGCTGGGGTCTCCTGCTGTAGCTACAGTGAGGTTCCCCTACCTGTCCACACTGAACAGTTCCAGTCTGACCACCTCATTTTTCTCTTCAGCATCCTATAACAACTCCTAACCATCTATTCTAAGAACTTAACTCCATGCTTATTAATGTGATTATTTTCCATTCCTATCTATCTCTGCTGTACTTCAGTATTTCTCAAGCTAAAAAGAAAACAAAATTGTGTCTATCACATAGTAATCCTTTAAAGTGATCTATCATAAGCAGAATTGTTAGAAAAGCCAAAAGACCTAAAAAATAGAAGCCTCAATTATTTTATTAACAGCCATATAACTGGCTTTAGCTTAGACCTTGCAAACAAGCAGATGCTTACTAATGTATCTATTATTAGATGAGAGCACCTGGGAAGATGTACATATATACAATGGTGGTACATGGAGCTAATGGAAGCACCTTAAAGGGTCTTTCTCCCAGTTGGGGGTTTTCCAAGGCTTCTTTGATAACATCTTTTTGCTAAAGTGATTAGAAAGAAAAAGAGTTTTCCAAACTCAAGAACAAAATTCAAGATGGAAAACACTATCAGTACAGAAACTAAGAAGTGTAGTAAACACAAGCAAAACACTGGAAAAAGTTAGGATCAAATTACACACTGTAATTAATTTACACTGTAAGTAATGTTACGTTACCATAGTAAAGTTACATAAATAATGTTATACTGTAAGTAACATTAAGGATTTAAAACTAGCCTTACAGTAGTAACAAGCAGTTATAAGGATTAAACTAGGAAAATGGCATGTGTTTAGAATGGTATTTTGCCTATAGAATAAACTACAGATGGACAAGAACAGATGTGAGGAGACTACATAGGAGCTGGTGGCCCAGCTACGTGTCTGTGTGTTCATAAGAATACATACTCATAAGTAGTATGCATGTAAATATACAAATACCTGTTTGTAACTGGTATATATGTATGACACACATGTATATAAAAATACAGGGGTGAAGGCCTGGAAGTATAATTACTTATGAAATAGGGAATGTAATCAAGGTAGACTAAAGATGATGTTAAAATGTTATCTTCAGGGCTGGGAAGGTGACTCAGTGGTAGAGCGCTTGCCTTGCATGCATGAGGCCCTGGGTTCGATTCCTCAGCACCACATAAGCAAAAAGAAAAAAGCCAGAAGTGGCACTGTGGCTCAAGTGGTAGAACGTTAACCTTGAGCTGAAAAGCTGAGGGACAACGCCCAGGCCCAGAGTTCAGGCCCCACGACTGGACCAAAAAAAAAAAAAATGTTATCGTCAAAAAAACAGTTTTGTAATCTAGAAATTTTCATATTATCTGATGTTTTTCTTACAATGAGAGTATTCATAGATTTTCCATAAAATTAAGACCAAAAAAAAAAAAAACTCTGGGAAACTCTTCCCAATGAGTTATCAGTTCCTAACATAAGAAAATAATTAAGAATTCAAGAATACCAGGAATGCATAGCATTTAAATGTTATATATAAAGTCAGTATGTTTCAAGAACTTACAAATAATACACTCCTGCAATCTATTCTAAGACAGTAACTAGAAAGTTGTAGATAAAATTTATAAAACAGTGCAATTATTGATAGCATTTTTGAACTGTCAAAAATTATATGCAATTTAAAAACTCCACATTAAGGAAATGCCTAAAGACCACAGTATTCTTATGTCAAATTTATGAAGGCTTAAAAACATTTTTGAAGTGATTAAAATAATATTAGGTAATGCTTACCAGTGATAAAGATTATAAAAACATGTCTATAACATAATAAAAACTACATATACACAAGGTTCTTAGAACTGAAGATATCTCGAAAATGTGACACTTTGGTATGATTTTATTTTCTAAATTAGAGTTGTGTTTTCTAGGTTTCTCACATTAAGTGGTAGTTATTTTTATTACTTAATACAAATAAGCAAATCACTACACTTTTTGTGGAAGAGTAGGGATATTTGCCATAGGAATAGTTTTTGAAATACATATGGATCATAGGACAGAAATCTTATTAAGAAAGGATTTGATACCATAAGGGGACAGGCAGTAACTAGAGCTATCAATTCTAGAGCTGTCTAGGATAGTTTTTATAACTCATAATAATTCTAATACTATGTACTATAATGCTATGCTGAAAAGGAGGTTGCCATGAATTACCTGTACTGGGGTCAGATTGGGGATTTTTTTTTTTTTTTACATGTGATAAAAATCATTCCCTGAATCTAGAGAACCAGTATAGCATAAACTTAAAAGTTTGAACTTTTTCAAGCCCCATGACCGACAAAAAAGTAAAAGAACCAAAAGTTTGAACTTTTAAGTTAGACTGGCTAACAAATCTGTCTCTGCTACTTCCTGGCTATATAACTTTCAACCAACATTGTATGAGTTCCTATTTCAATTCTTGCTCTTCTTTTCTGGGCAATTGTGGTTTCCTTCAGAAAATAATTATTGTGCCTATATTTTCAGAATTTTCCTTATGTTTTACCATAGAGGTTTCAAAGTTTTAGGCCCTACTTAAAGATATTTGATCGATGTGCAGATGATTTTTGTACAGAGTGAGAAATAAGGATCTGGATTTAGTCTACATGCTGCATGCAAATAGCCAATTAGTTTGCCCAGAACCATTTGCTGAATATGTGTGTGTGTGTGTGTGTGTGTGTGTGTGTGTAGCTTTAGTGTTGGTTGCTTTATAATCTAAACGTACAAGTAATTGCTGAATGTCAGTCATAAAAGACAGGAGTTTCTGGCTAAAGAAAGCATGAGAACAACTATTAGTAAGGTAGTGTAAGGGCGTGTGTATAAATAAAATAAAGCTATTTACATATTTAAATATATAATAAGAAAATTTAAACTTCTCTGCTTTACCTTTTTCCAAAAATATCTGACTATCACTTCCATCACTTTCTAACAACTGTTCTTCCAGTATCATGCTGTCAATTGAAATAGTATCCAAGGAGATTTGGGAGGAGCTTCTTTTCATGTTCTTATAAGAAACACAGAGTGGAACCTGGTTGGGTGGGCAACGTTCCTTAGGTTTTCCACTATTAAACAAAATTAACAGAAAATTATTACAAAGAATTTTATCTTACAAATTAAATAAATATAATGTAGTTTCCACAGTTTTTAAAATTTAATGTATAAGTTCAAAGAGTTCTCAAATTTTCAATAATCTACTCCTTCTAGCAACTCTAACAATGTCATACTTTTTAATGAGTAAATGCCCTCCCCAAAATACATCCATATGTAAATATACTCAGCATAACAAAGAAACACCAAATTTTAATAGCATGTTGTTACCTTAAAGATGACTGAGGTTTAAGTGTTCTAACTGTGGATCCTTCTTCTTTACTCATTTCCAGGCTATCAGGGAGTGAAGATGCTTCTGGAAGCAAATCTTCAGCTTTGAAGATCGACTCTATGGTTTCATTTCCTTTATTAGTTAAATTATTTGAAAGCATGTTTTGACTACTGTCATTACCAAATGATGGCATTTTTGATCCTTCCCTGTAGTTCAAGACATTACTTGAATCTGCATGAGATGAATCCTTTCTGTCACTTATTTGTAATCCAATTTCTCCTGAGCCACTCTTGTAAGTAAGTCCACTACTTTCATCTTCACTTATTTTCCCTAAATGCTTATCTGATAAATACTCCAGAAAAGAAGTACCTTTCTGCAGATTTGTATCACTAGCTGATTTAAAAAGCAAAGAATCCTTTAAAGGGACATGACTAAGATCAACACTCATAGACCTGTTGTCTGACATATGATTAACAGTTACACTTCTTATTTGATTTATACCACTACTAAATTGTTTTCTTTTGGAAGATAAAAATTCTCCATTTTCTGTAGGCAAGTAATCAGGAACCATTGGGCTCACACTTTCAGAAAGAGGTGACTTAAGAGTATTGACATGATCCACTGGATGTAGCAAGAGAGCTAGTTCTGCACTTTTAAGTAAAACACCAATACAAACAGATGTCTGGCTAGCAGGACTGCCAGTCACAGCTTCCACATCTTTCCTTAAGTTATCTGAAAGGAGAATAAGTGATTCATGTAGGAAAAGTAGCAGCAGATATTGGTAGTGATTGATCTGCAAACTAACATGTTTATGAACATGAACCAAAACATGAATATCTGCATCTGATGATGAAGAGGAAAAGCTTATAAATGTATCTGATGAAGGTTTCTGACCACCATCTGTCAAGGGCTCAGATTCTGTACTATAATACTCTTTCAAGAGCTTCTTCCGCTTCAGTCGGCCAGCCAGATCACTAGATTCACTTTGGGATGTATTTAGAGATACTTGATTACAATTCTGCAGCTCTTTTTGTGACTCTGCATATCTTGTTGGTTGACAAATCCAGAAAGATAGAGGGAACGAATCTACAAAACTTATTGGTCTTCCTTTCCCACTTTTCATGCCTTCATAATCTATCCAAAATTGAGAAAAGTGTACTGCCCAAACATCCATGGCAGCAGAAGACTTAAGAGTATATTTATTCAACTCAGGAGTAATATTTCCTTTATACACTTCATGCATTTTAGTATCTTGTTCATGAGCATGTCTCTGGAAAATTGGATGTAGAAGATGAAAACTGTCAGAAGACTTAGGGAAGCGAGTGTAAGTTTTACTAAAAAAATCACAATCTTTGAAGTCTTGAAACAGAGCTTCTAGATCAGAATGTCGACAGTTTGGACAGTGCCTTGTATTTGTGGCAATCATTTCAGAACTCTGAATAGAAAGGGTGTGTGGTTGATCTTGATGACATTCAGATTTCATTTCGGAAGGAATGACAATCTAGAAGGTAAAAAAATTACTCCAGTCCAACTTATAAGCCCACATATCTTGAAGATAAAACAAGCTCATGACTTAAGAATACTATTTCTTGACATGTTCTCCACAAATATTTTTTTCTTGCCCAGGCATAAAACATGATCTCTCTTTCAAATCTTTTACAAACTGAGTTTAAGAAAACTACAGGATTGACAACTAAAAATAAACTTCAAAAATAAACATGAGGGGGACTGGGGAGGTGGCTCAGTGGTAGAGTGCTTGCCTTACATGTATGAGGCCCTGGGTTCTCAACACCACATAAGCAGAAAAAAGCCAGAAGTGGCACTGTCAAGTAGTAAAGCACTAACCTTGAGCTGAAGACCTGAGGCACAGCGCCCAGGCCCAGAGTTCAGGCCCATGACCAACAAAAATAAATAAACTAAATTTTAAAAAATGAATAATGTATATAAAATACTATAAATCATAAATCACAAATAAAAGAATACATTTAAGTTAAATGACTTTTTACTAATTGTACACATAAAAAATGCCAGTTCTGAAAAATTCATTTTTTAAAAGATATTTTAACTTCAAGTATTTCAAGAGATGACTTTATGAATGAATGAAGTGACTATAACAGAATCAGTTTTCTGGAAGAAAACTTAAGAAAATAACCCTAACATAATGGCTCAAATTACTTTCTATACTAATTCTCAAGAGATAATCCAATCTTCAAAAATATTCACATCAAGAGTTCAAAGTGACTTGACTTACTACTATTCATACTCAAAAAAATGCAAAGATCACTATATAATTCTAACTTAGCAAACTGTATGTTAGAAAATATACCAATTAAAAAGAAGAAAGAAAATATACCAATTAATACAGAATTCTATAAAAATCTTTCATAGAACGAAAAATTCCTGCTCTACAATTTTTGAGTTTTACTAACATCATTTCACAGAGAAAATATTAAAGGTATACAGTATATATACCGATATATACAAACAATAGGCCTAGAAATCAAAACTGTCATCCATCTCCAACTCTGCTTTTATTTGCTAAACTAGTTTCTTGGGTTGTTGTTGGTTTTGTTTTGTTTTGCAAAAGAGCATTTTGAGCCAGGCGCTGATGGCTCATGTCTGTAGTCCTAGCTACTCAGGAGGCTGCAATCTAAGGATCATGCTTCAAAGCCAATCCGGTCAGGAAAATCTGTGAGATTCTTACCTCCAAGTAACCATCAGGAAAGTGGAAGTGGCACTGTGGGCCACAATGTTAGAGCACTAGCCTTGAGCAAAAGAGCTCATGGACAGTGCCCAGGCCCCGAATATAAGCCTCATATAGCAGGAAGGAAGGGAGGAAGGGAGGGGAGAGAGAGGGACAGGGACAGGGAGACAGAGAGGGAGGGGAGGGAGAGAAGGAAGAAAGAAAAAGGAAGGAAGGAAAAGGAAGGAAGGAAGGAAGGAAGGATTTTGGTGGGTACCAGTGAATCACACCTGTTAATTTTAGCTTCTCAGAAGGCTGAGATCTGAGAATCAAGGTTTGAAGCCAACGCAGACAGCAAAGTCTGCGAAACTCTTGAATTAATTAGCTAGAAGTATAGTTGTGGCTCAAGTGGCAGAGTGCTGGCTTTGAGTGAGAAAACTAAGGACAGTGCTCAGGCCAAGCCCCAGAACTAGTAAAAACATAATGAATAAAAGACTAATGAAGAGAGGAAGAGGGAAAAGAAATAATCATAATATTCAATATACATATTATGTAATTAGCAAAATCAAGGAGATGGGTGAAGTTGGGAGGGATGGAGAGAACAATTAAAAAGGAAACATTGATTAACTGACACGCTGCATTCTAACCCATTTGTACAACTAAAGATAATAAAAATGTAATCTAAAAACCAGTTTTTATTTTAAACTTCTTTCTTTTAAAACTTAAATATGCATACAGTTCAGATTATTGACTAGCTATATAACAAAATAAAATAAAAAACCAACTTTCCAGCTGGGCACACATGGCTCATACTTATAATCCTAGCTACTCAGGAGGCTGAGATCTGAGGCTTATGATTCAAAGCCAGCCTGCAGAGAAAAGTTCCTGTGAGACTCTCATCTCCACTTAACCACTCAAAGACCAGAAGTGGACCTGTGGCTCAAAGTGGTAGAGAACTAGAGTTGAGCAAAAGAACTCAGGGACAGAACCCAGGTCCTGAGTTCAAGACCCACAACCAACAACAATAACAAAAACTTTCTATTTTCTTGGAAACTAATAATAAATAATGGAATAAATGTAAAAGAAATACTGCTTATCTTATTTAAAATTTTTTTAAGTTTTATTGTATAATTTACCTTTCTCAGAAAAACATTTTTTTACCAATTCTGAAGTAGAAAAAAATTGCTAAATATTAAAATTTTGACTATAGCTTTTGTCCAAATGGATGGAAAGGGGGGGAAAAAACAAATCATGAGTGGAGAGAAGGAGTCTCTTACAGTTTCTATAATTGAGAATCAAACTATATCTGAAATTTCAAAATAAAAGTATCATGAGGAAGTCATTTTCTATCTGAACATCTATCTTATATCCTGAAAATTATAATGCATTCCACTTATCTTCCATATAAATGGTTCCGTGCTCATAGCCACTTGTTTATGTAATACCTTTAGCATTAATCCATCCACTCGAATATCAACATGCTCATCAGATTTTGAGTCATTCAACTTGTACACAGTCATGAACTGATTAAGGCTCTGTTTTAAGTCCAGAAGAAATTGATTCAGCCATAGAATGCTTCTTTCATCCACAGTAAATTGCAGTGCATTCAGCTGGCTATACAGGTTAGGAGATGGAACTGTGAAGAAAAGAAGTTTTTCAAGTATGAATAAACAAAGCAGCCAGGCACCAGTGGCTGACGCCTGTAATCCTAGCTACTCAAGAGGCTGAGATCTGAGGATCAAGGCTCAAAGCCAGACCAAGCAGGAAAGTTTGTGAGATTCTTGTCCTCTATTTCAAAAAGCCTGAAATGGACTGTGACTTAAGGAGAAAAGTGTTAGCACTTCGTCAAAAAGCTCAGGGACAGTGACCAGGCTATTGAGTTCAAATTCAAAGACCAGCACCAAAAAATAAAGAATGCCATAAAAAGAGAAGAAAAAGGACATATGAACAAATAATATCAGTACAAATGTTGTATTATGGTTATGTTCTATAAATTGTGATAAGAGTAATTTTTGTCTTTCATACTTACAAAACTCCAAAACTTAGCAAAAATAATTGATAATACCAAAATAAATAGTAAACTCTCTTACTGGGAAAATCCTTTCCATCTGGATAGTAATATTCTGTGAATTCTATGTAGACAGCTGACATTTCTTGTGGAAGATACAAGGATTTTTTGTTGCAGGAAATCATACTTTTAGGGGAAGAACGACATTGTTCTGCTGTAGAGACCTGAAAAAATATCTATGTTAAAGTAGTACTACATAAAGGCTTTTCCAAAGAATTTATTCATCTTAGACATTTTCAAGTCTTGTAAAGCTATTTTAATCATCTGTCAATGGTTAACTACTAATGCAAACTTGTATATTTAACTTCATATTATATAAAAATAATATCCACCAAATATTTAGAAAACACTATAATCATTTTGGATCTTTATCAGTTACAAAATTAAGCTTTGTACAATATTCCTTACAATTTTATTTTGAGCCAAAAGGAAAAAGAAAATGACAATAATAATAAATGGCAGAGTCAAGATGTAGATTTAAGTCCTCAAGACCAGAATGCCTCTCCATGGAAGCTGGGAAGGTAGCTCAGCGGTAGAGTTCATGCCTTGCAAGCATGAGGCCCTGGGTTCGATTCCTCAGCACCACATAAACAGAAAAAGCCGGAAGTGGCCCTGTTGTAGCTCCAGTGGTAGAGCACTAGCCTTGAGCTGAAGAGCTGAGGGACAGCGCCCAGACCCAGAGTTCAGGCCCCATGACCGGCAAAAAAAAAACAAACAGAATGCCTCTCCAGAATGTGCTTTATAATAATTCACCATAACTTCTCTATTATTATGAAAACCAATAAAGTATTTAAGAGTTTCAGGAAAGGAAGAGTAGTATTGATTGCACATTGTGAATGTACTTAATTTCACTGAATTGAAAATTCTGTCATATACCGCAATAATTTTAAATATAACTGTAAATGGTTCTGTCAAACAGATTAATCTCTTATTTTCCAAAAGAACCCTATTTAAAAGGTCTAGTTTCTTTTTTTCACTCTACTTCTCAAACAGATAATTTATATAATTATATTGAAAATAATTTTTCCAAAGTTTAAACAATAAAATTTTATCTAATTCATTTCTTTACACTAATTTACAAGGCCCACCTATGGACCTCAAAGTTTTTTTTTTAAATGTTTCTTTTTTCTTTTCTTTCTTTCTTTCTTTTTGTCAGTCATGGGGCTTGAACTCAGGGCCTGGGCACTGTCCCTGAGCTCTTTTGCTTATGGCTAGCATTCTACCACTTTGACCCACTGCTCCACTTCAGTTTTCTGTGAGTTAATTGGAGATAAGATTCTCACAGACTTTCCTGCCCAGACTGGCTTTGAACCATGGTCCTCAGATCTCAGCCTCCTGAGTAGCTAGGATTACAGATATGAGCCACCAGCATCTGGTACAACAAATGTATAGATTTCTCATATTAAGAACAATACTTTTTCCATGGACATTGTTTCATCTTGTAATAAACATTCTATCTGTATCCTTTATAATGTTAAATCACATTCTTACAGTACATAATTTTTTGGGGGGTCCAGTCGTGAGGCCTGAACTCTGGGTCTGGGCACTGTCCCTCAGCTCTTCAGTTCAAGGCCAGCGTTCTACCACTTGAGCCACAGCGCCACTTCCGGCTTTTTTCTTTTTGCTTATGTGGTGCTGAGGAATTGAACCCAGGGCCTCATGCATGCAAGGCAAGCACTCTACCACTGAGCCACCTTTCCAGCCCTACAGTACGTAATTAAAAAGCCTTTTATCGCATGTAAAAACTAATTCTTTTCAATTATGTGTCTCATTTTAATTCTCCTTTCCCTTACTAGAATTAGAAAGAATATTCTCTCTCTTCCTCTCTCTCTCTTCATTTATTTTTGGAGACAAGCCTTCTCATATAGTCCAGGATGGCCTAGAACTTGCTATATAACCCAATCTAATCTAACCTGGAATTCCTGATCTTCTTGCCCTGTCTCCCAAGTGCTGGAATTACAGGCATGAGCCACCACATATGGCTCAGCCTAATTTTTTATTTCTACCACTATTTTATTTTTAGTGCATGTGTGTATGTATGTATGTGGAGGGGGGGATTCGCTCTCTTTTTCTTTCTCTCACTGGTGGTCTGAGGATTGAACTCAGGGCCCTGCCATTGTTAGACTCTACCACTTGAGCTATAGCACTAGCCTCTATTAACACTAGCCCCTATGAGGTTTCATTACTCTCAGAAATATGTTATTATGAGTGATTCCTGTTCCTCATTAACGTATGATCTTACTTAAGTCTAAAACATATATACCGCAACAAAATATACAACAAAATATACTTTAAACATGCTGCATTATAAAAAGAGAATATAAAGAAAGAATTAATTGCACAATGAGAAAATAACTTAAATCAGGGTTACTCAAAACTGACACTATTAGTATTTTGGGTCAGATAACTTTATGGAGAGAGTCTTGCACACTGTCACATTTTCAGCAGCATTGCTGGCCTTTTACCCACTAGATGTCAGCAGCACTCCTTTCAAGTGTGACAAACAACTTTGTTTTGTCACTCTCAATGTGACCTGGGGCACAATGGAAGCTACTTTTCAGATAAACCTACAGGCTTATCAAAAGCTAGTACAATTTATAATTTTTTTTCCTGTCATGGGGTCTGAACTCTGGGCCTGGGCGCTGTCCCTCAGCTCTTCAGCTCAAGGCTAGCACTCTACCACTTGAGCCACAGTGCCACTTCTGGCTTTTTCTACTTATGTGGTGCTGAGAAATTGAACCCAGGGGCCTTATGCAAGGCAAGCACTCTACCACTGAGCCACCTGCCGAGCCCCCATTTTATAAATTATTATGTCTGAAATCTGCTGAGTTTTGTTGTTGTTGTCTTATGCAGGTCCTGGTTTGTCATCTCTGAGCTTTTATGCTCAAGGCTAGTACTCTACCACTTGAGTCATAGCTCCACTTCTGGCTATTTGGTGGTTAATTACAGCAGAGTTTCACAGACTTTCTTGCCAAGACAGGCTTCAAACTGCGATCCTCTGATCTTAGCCTTCTGAGATATCATGGGTTATCAGTGCCTGGCTTAAAATCTGTTACTTTAAAAAAGGTTCACAAAGCCATGCATGGTGGCATATGCCCTATAATACCAGTACATGTAAAGATGAGGGAGTAAGATCGCCAAGTTTGATAATACACTCTCTCAAAAAATAAATAAATAAAAATAAACTGGGACTCCTCTTTAGGGCTCCTGTCTTACCACTTTCATAGTTTTCCTTTGGCTTTCAAATGAACTTTTCTCTTTGCTTAAAAACAGACAAAAAAAAAAAAAAACCAAGAAACAAAAAACTGGTTTCAAATACAGTAACATTAGACCATTTTGTAAGATTATAGCCCACATAAGATAATGAAAATGAGGGTTTGTAGCGATTACATTATGTACACAATATGGTCAATCCATACTAAGTTTAATAAAGTGGAAAAGGAATTTTAGTTTCTCCATAGACAACTATATAGTAAGAAATTTGATCACAAAAGGAGTTCTGGCCTTTGTCCTTGTTCCTTTGAGATAACTAGGGCTTGTCATTTCCTATTCATGTGTGCAACTGGTAATTTCTGACATCAAAATGACTTTGGTGGGGATGGTCACATTTGATAGTCTTATTTGTTTGGAGGAGGTGGAAGGCTTCAAGTCATTTGCTATCAATCTATTCTCATGCTGAGTTCAACTACAAATTTCAAGCATATTGTCATACATCTACATGTAGTGCTGGAGTTTGGGCTTCATAAATGTTAGGTGAGCTCTCTACCACTGAGCTACCTCTCAAACCCTAAGTTTAACATTTGGAACCCTTCCAGATTCTGCTCTACACACTTTTTCCTATGTTTGGTTCTTATTTATATTGCTTCCTTATAATAAAACCATAAGTATGGTAGATTTTGGGATATGAGACAACTTAGAGAGTGCTGGCAGCCTCAAGTAATGTGTCCTTGTCATTAAATTTTGGCTAATTAAGGTAACACCTTAAACAAAGATTCATGAGCTGATATTATCTATCCTATCTTATTGAGTCATTTTACAAAACTAGTCAAGTATGTTTAAAACAGTGGCATTAGTTGTTAAAGTTTCTTGTAAAAGACACTGAAAGTGTTCACGAGATTAATTTAAAAAATAAAACATACCTGGTATATATTGAAATCTGCAAGTCTAACCACAACGGAACTAGACATAAGCTTAGCTTTTGATTGTTGAGATAATACTGAAGATGTTCTAGAACTGCTTTTCAGAGTAGAATCCTTCTCTGTAGGAAACAAAAACTCTGTTTAATTTATTACAAAATTCTTTTTTAATAGATGCACTTTTGTTTTTAAGAAAGCTGATGGAAGCTTGGGTTGTTCATACCTATAATTTTAGACACCTAGGAGGCTAAGATCTGGAAGATCACAGTTCTAAGCCAGTCCAGGGGAAAAACACTCAAGACTTCATCTTCAATTAATCAGCAAAAAGCTGAACTGGGAGCATGGCTTAAGTGGTAAGAAAGTCACCCATGAATAAGAAAGTAAGCCAAAAGTATACAAAAGCCTCTGAGTTCAAATCCCAGTCTTGGCCAAAAAAAAAAAAAAAGGCACTAAAAATGTAGGTGAACACTAACTTCTCACGCAAGAGTGTATATATGGAAATTCTTTATAAAAATCATACAGAAATACTGCTCTTTTTTTTGGTAGATGGCCTTGAACCCTGATCTTCCAGATCTCAGATAGGATGACAGGTATGAACTACCAGCATCTAGCTAATTACTCATATGTAAACAGAAATCATATTTTTCACACATCCAAGTTACTATTTTACAATGTTAAAAATGACAGATCTATGAGTCATTTATCAAACTGAAAATTTCTTTACTCCAATTGGTTATATTAAGTGTAAAAGTACATACACCTATGTTGTTCTGGATAAAGTATACAAGATCTTTTGACCTTAATCAAAAATAATACTTTACAGAAAATACATTGGAAAACACACACACACACACACACACACACACAAAATTAGGTAAATGCTATAATGTTAATAAGTAAAATACCTGTTTGTGTGTGCTGGGGAGAGGCATGTGTTGGGGATTTAGGAGGTGAACCTACATTATGGTCCTTTACAGCCTGTTTAAGCATTTCCACGTTGCACTCAAACTCATGTAACAGTTCATTGGCCCATCCATTTTTTGTCTTGGTTGCATCACTAAAATACATCCAGTGACTACAACTGTCTCCTGTAAAATGAATAACATCTTTTCACTGACAATGTACAATTTCCATTTATTCTCTCATAACAATGCTCTGAATGAACTTTGGTCAACTTTTCAAGGTAATCTTTACTCTTCCAACAAGCTTACAGTCTTCACCTACTTCATTTTAAAATGAGAGCAAGACATTGAGAACAGAGGAAGAGAATGCCAAAAGCAAGTGATCTGGAGAGCTTTCTATCTAAAATCATTTCTGATGGAAGAGTACTCAAAGTTTCAATTCAAATCCACAGGACAATCTTCACTAGAGGTTAAATCATCTGTCAAGCCTTCATTAGATAGAATCTCAGAAAATAACATCGAGGCATAAAATCCTTTCATCAAAAATGAATATAGAATTAACTTACATAGAATTAATCCTTTAATTTATTAATTAATCCTTTTAACTAATATAGAATTAATCCATAAAATGGATAAAATCTAATAAGAAATCAACAGAACCTCTCAAGATAAACTCAGTCATAAAGAGATACACATGTTTGGGAAAGGAAAATACAAAATCAACATTAACTTTCTTTGCATCAACTAAGGAATGTGTTCATAAAAAGATTATGAAAAGAAAATCTACCGTGACTGAAAGTCTTATCTTCCAATATATGAATGATTTCTACAGCTATAAGATTCTAAGAGTTTGTAAGTATCTTTCTTATAAAATGCTTTTAAAAGAAAATCAAAATAAATAGTACAACTTTGTGTGCATGTGTGTATGTATATATGCACACACATGAGTATAGGGGTTTTTTTGAACTCAGGGCCTCGTGTTCTCACTCAGTTTTTTTGTCCATTGCTGGCATTCTATCACTTCAGTCAAGCCTCTAAACTGGCCTTCTACTGGATATTTTGGAGATGAAGTCTCAAGAATTTTATCTGCCTTAGCTGGCTTCAAACCTTGATCCTCTGAATTTTGTCTTCTGGGTAGTTAGGATTATAGGTATGAGCCACTGGTACCTGGGTCTAACCATTAAATTCTGTAAGGTAGTGTTATAGAAATTATAAAACCATTTGGTAGGTAGCAATATGAATCTGAAAGTATCTGTATCTTTTCAAAGCTATGGAAAATTTGTTATGTTTTTGTTTTTAGTCTTTTCCTATTGCGTAAAATTAAAAAAAAAAAACAAGACCATATACTATCAAAAGGCAGAGATGTGTGCTGAGGCTAAATTACTTAATTTGGTTATAAATACTCATATATTTTCTATTTTTATTATTTGAAAATAAAGAACCTATCAGGATCACATCTTACAGATGAAATTTAGAAAATATAAGTGAAAATGTTCCTAAATTTGTATAATATACAAAATATCATGGAAAATTCAAAATATTAATAACTTGCTTTTGCCACATACAAAAATAGTACAAATATGTGTTAGGTCTTGTTATTTAGAAAATAATTTCTCTCTCTCTCTTTTCTTTTTTTTCTCCTTCTTTCCCTTCCTTTTTTGGTGCTTGGAATTAAACATGGCTTGGGGGCTGGGAAGGTGGCTCAGTGGTAGAGCGCTTGCCTTGCATGCATGAGGCCCTGGGTTCGATTCCTCAGCACCACATAAGCAAAAAAAAAAAAAAAAAAGCCAGAAGTGGCATTGTGGCTCAAGTGGTAGAGTGCTAGCCTTGAGCTGAAGAGCTGAGGGACAGCGCCCAGGCTCAGAGTTCAGGCCCACAACCGGAAACCCCCTCCCCCCCCCAAAAAAAAACCAACATGGCTTGGAACATTCTAGGAATGTACTCTACTACTAAATACACCCATACCAAAATCAATCAATTTATTTTCTTTCCTCCCTTCTTTCTCTTTCTTTCTTTTCTTTCTTTCCTTTCCTTTTTCCTTCCCCACCTCCTCCCATTTCTCTACTTTTCCCTCCCTCCTTTTCCTTTATCATAATTCAAAGAATGATGCAATGGCTAAAGCCTATCTATAATCCCTACTACTCAGGAGGTTGACATCTGAGAATAAATCTTTAAAGTCCATGAGACTCTATTTCCAGTTAACCAGAAGTTAATTGGAAGTATGACTGGTAGTATGGCTCAATATAGGGTCAGCTATGCTTGAAAAAGTTGAGCAAGAACACAAAGACCCTGTTCAAGCCCCAGTGTCCACAAATTAAAAAATAAAATGATTAGACAAGAAAAACAGAAAGAAAATGTGCAATACCTGAACAACACATTAAAAAGTAATGTACTGATATAAAATCAAGACATTGGACATATACAGAATTCACTTAAAAACTGTCCATTCCTAACAAATTTAGTTTCTAACAATCTACATGAACCTCAACATAAATTGCATAAGTATTTTTTAAGGCAATTCTATTTTCTTGGTAAAATACCATAGAAGAAAAATAGTAAAGACCTTTTTACTCCTTAGCAAATTAGATTAAAACCAAAGAATTAAAAATAACAAATTGAAAATGTCCATATCAAAAAGATTAACACATTTAAAGAAATAGTTATACATACCAGCTTTATGATAAGGATAATAATCTATGGTCAACTGTGTAAAAGAGAGTTGCATGGCGCCTCCAGTAATACGTCTGTTTGATTCTGGAAAAAGAAAATGATGAGCCTGAGAAATATTAAGCAAATATTATGCAAATGTCAAAAACACTTAATTTACCACTGAAATGTTTAAAATAATTGGGATCTAAGTAGTGGTGATTTTCTTTTGTCATGAATAATACCATCTAATTTGTATTCGTTGAGCTTCTATCATTTGATAGGCTCTAGTCTAGAAGAGAATACAAAAATAGGATCTAAGCCCACAAGAACTGACAAATGATAGTACTAGAAATTTTATATTTACAATACTTAATCATATTAATAATTTTAAGTTTTTAGGCATACTTACTCATTTCATTTTTATAATTCCAAGAAATATTATTATAATACCTACTTTCTAGATCAGAAACTGAGGCAAAAAGAGGGTAAATAGAATAAGATCATAAAGCTAGTTCTAAGTGATGAGCTGGATTTGAACCCAGATAATCGTATTTTTAAAATATAACTTTATTGTTATTATTAAGGTATTGTACAGAAAAGATACCATTTTATAAGTCAGGTAATGAGTACAATTCTTTTTGGACAATGTCACCCCTTCCTTCACCCTGAACCTGAAAATCTTTTTTCTTTTTTTTGGGTCCGGTCGTGGGGCCTGAACTCTGGGCCTGGGCGCTGTCCCTCAGCTCTTCAGCTCAAGGCTAGTGCTCTACCACTTGAGCCACAGCACCACTTCCGGCTTTTTTCTTTTTGCTTATGTGGTGCTGAGGAATTGAACCTAGGGCCTCAGGCATGCAAGGCAAGCGCTCTACCACTGAGCCACTTTCCCAGCCCTGAACCCGGAAATCTTAACCACTTCATTATATGCATCATCCTGCCTCTTTCCAAACAGGAATATATACAATCAGGTAAGTTGTCAAAAGTTACATAGTAATCAAAAGTCAACATAAATCAGTATAATGCCAACACAAAAATCAAATGCTTAAAACACCATGAACAATTTAACTGTAAGTAAAAAAATATAAGCTAGAAACAATGTATACATTGCCTATATTAGTTAACCCCAATTCATCTCATTTACAATCTTTTAAGATAATTCAGTATTTTTTAGATTTTATTAAATTAATATGATATGTACAGAATATAATACACAACAAGGGATATAATAATGCATTAGCTCGGTTTGCATCCAAATGATCTTTTGCAAACTTATGAAAAAATATTTCATAGTCTTTTGGAAAAAGCCTTGTCCAAAGAGTAGAAGTGCCTACAGACCTGTAAAATACGGAAAATAAAATACAGGGATTTCCCCTTTAATAAAATCCCTCAGTTTATTCTATGAGGGAATAATGAAAAACAAGGAATGTAAAAGAGATCAGAAATTTTCTAAGTAAAAACTTCTTTTTGCTCAATTTTATTACTTTGATTTGTTTTAATGTGTTTGGATTTTCCTTTCAAACTAAAGCAGAAAATGGCACCAATAATCCAAATGACACACAAGCTAAAGAAACAACAAATCTCTCTGCAAACCCCAAATCTTAAGCTATACCCTTCTGCCTTTTTATTTTTAGCTGATTCCCAGCTGCCGTGTCTACTGCTAAGTAACTAAGACTCATAATTCACTTTTTTGGTTTTTAGAAAGTACAAAGAATTCATGATAGAATTGATTTGGGTCAAATACCTCTATCTATTTTGGGGGAGAGGGGTGGTCAGTCATGGGGCTTGAACTCTGAGCCTAGATGCTGTCCCCTCAGCTCTTCAGCTCAAGGTGAGCATTCTACCACTTGAGTCACAGCGCCACTTCTAAATACCTCTATTTTTAAAAAATCATTAGCTTATTTTATAATCAAGGTGCAAAAGTCAAATATTTCTGTTTCTCTTTCAACGATCTTCACATTAAAGCCAGATGCTGTTGGCTCATGTTTGTCTGTAATCCTAGCCTCTCGGAAGAGTGAGAGCTGACAATTACAGTATGAAGCCATCTTGGACTGGAAAAGTCAGTGAGACTCTTATCTCCAATTAACCACTTAAAAGCCATAAGCAGAGCAGCGGCTCACATGGTAGAGACACCAGCCTTGAGCCAAAAAGCTAAGAAACACAGAGTAGGCCCTGAATTCAAATCTTAGTACCAATGCATCCATGCACACGTGCATATGTGCACATTTACACATGTGCGTACACACACAAACATAAACACACACAAAACCACCAAAGTCAGAGAAACATTATTCTTGAGATGTCTACCTGCTGAATTTCCTCAACACTAGTGGGCCAGGGATGCTCCATGGCAGAAGAAACAGAAAGGCACAATTCCTAGACTAGGGAACCACAGATTTTTCAACATAACCAAGAACAGCTTCCTGTATGCGTATGTCTGTAACGTTTGAGTAAGTAAGAGTTAAAAGGAGGAAAATGAGGAAGAGAAGTAGGAAGAAGAAAAGGAAGAGGAAAAGAAGGAAGAAAAAAATAAATCACACTGGAATTTAACATCCTAACCAAATATTTGTAGGGAGAAGGGCAGAAAACACAAACGTTAAAGAGCCACATAGTTCTGTTGGTGCACACTCATCTAGAAATGGGTAATCATAATGCTGAAAACACGTGTGAATAATAGTGAGTAGAATCTTTGTTAAAATTTATAAATTTCAAATTTACAAAAAAGTTAATACAAAGACAAATCCAAGATATTTTATTCAGCAGTCATCTATTTACTAAACTCTTATTTTTTAAACAGAATTTTACAGTTAATTACTAGTAGCCTAACACTTAAGCTTTAAATACAAACTACTAAGACCAAATAAAATTTTATGACAGCATAAAGCTTCAAATTTTGCCTTTCATTTATTTATCTATATATATGGCAAAACAATAAAAAAATTACCCTAAATACGTATTACATATTATATGTAAAATATACAATAAATTCAGTTTTATCGTTAATTCTACAAAGGCCAAAGTATTTTGAAATGAGCAAATTATATTACCTTTTTCTTTCGCATGAATATCATCACAAATGTGGAGATCTAGGTGAGAAATCACTAAATGATGGGAGGTTTCTTTAACATCAAAGTCACTGAAGAGTTTCACAATTGCATCATTCAGATCAGGAGCACTTGGAGTCTGTGGTGTCTTTACTTGCTGAGTAGATGGGGCTACTGTAGAGCTCTAGAAAAATTCAAAACTGCATTACCACTGCCAAGTTACATACTAGAAATTTCACACCAAAGCAAACATAAATATTTGCAGTAATAAAGCCATTAAAAATGTAATTTCTTTTGTATCAATAATTGAGTTCCCCTAATTTTTTTTCTGAATTACAGTAGAAGGAAACTAAAAATTAGTCAGACACTGGTAGCTCATGCTTAGCCCTACTTACTAAAGAGGCTGAGATTTAAGTATCCTCAATGAATTCAATCCCACCAGGAAAGTTGATAAGAGTCTTATCTCCAATTAGCCAAACAAAAAGCTGGAAGTGAGGTATGGGTCAAGTGGTAGAGTAACAGCTTTAAGTAAAAAGGCCAAGCAAAAGCAATAGGCCCTAAGTTCAACCCCTAGTACCAGCACAAAAACATTTTTAAACTTTGCAACTTGAATATGAACCAAGTAGGTTTTAGTAAATGCTTACGTTATAGTCACATACGTATGATTCTAAAAACAAAAAGTTAGGGCTGGGAAGGTGGCTCAGTGGTAGAGCACTTGCCTTGCATGAGGCCCTGGGTTTGATTCCTCAGCACCACATAAGCATTTAAAAAAAAAAAAGCCAGAAGTGGCGATGTGACTGAAGTGGTAGAGTGCTAGCCTTGAGCTGAAGAGCTGAGGGACAGCGCCCAGGCCCAGAGTTCAGGCCCCACAACCGGACCCAAAAAAAAAAAAAAAGTTATTAACTACTATAGACAACTTAGTTGAGTATTAGTTTTAATTCTATTTTTGTGTGTTTGTGTGTGTGCCAGTACTGACATTTGAACTCAGGGCTTAGTTGCTATAACTTAAGCTGTTTTGTTCAAGCCTGGTGCTCCACAATTGGCTCTATAATTTCACTTCTGGCTTTTTCTGGTTAACTGCAGCTGGTTATATCAGATGCTTTTATGTCAGCAGTAAGTCTGGTGGTGCTTAGTAAAATGTTCCAAACAAAAACACTAGGCAATATTAATATTTCTCTATACATAATATATATATAAACTTGTAAGGCATCTTATCTTATAATAAGAAATTTAGTTTTAGCTGAGTACCAGTGGCTCACGCCTGTAATCCTAGCTACTCAAGAGGCTAAGAGCTGAGGATCATGGTTCGAAGCCAGCCTGAGCAGGAAAGTCCTGAGACTCTTATCTCTAATTAAACACCAGAAAATCAGAAGTGGCACTGTGGTTGAAAGTGGTTGTGCGCTAGTCTTGAGCAAAAAGAGCTCAGGGACAGTGCCCAGATCCTGAGTTCAAGCCCATGACCAACAAAAGAAAAATAAGTTAAACCACTTACATGTAAAGTTTTTTATGTTAATTTACACCATACCTGTGTAGGTTCAGGAGCCATACTTTTCCTCTGTTCTGTAGATCTTTCTATTGCTTCGCTAAGAGATTTTGCATATTGTACCATAGCCTTCAACTGAGAATCCGTTAAAACCCATAATAAATCATCCAATATTAGAACTAACTTTGTTGCTATGACATTGCAGTCTTTTAACTGTCAAAAAAAAAGTATTGACAAAATTAAGACAAAAATAAAACATAATACACTTGTATTTTTTAAAAAGCTTAAAGTTTATGACAGAATTACAAACAGGTATGGATAATTATTTCATTTAATAAATACTTTTAACTCCTAGTGCTAGATATAGCAGTGATAACAAAAGAATGACAAACTCCTTATCTTAACCAATACAATTTATATAGCATATATATATATATATATATATATATATTTGCATTTATACTTGACAAATCATTTAATTACAACTAGTTAAAAACTAAAATGCTCTTTTACCCACAATTCAGAATATCTATGTTAAGTACCAAACTTAAAAATGCTTTCACTTTTTATTATTATTTGTGCCTGGTTATACAAAGCTTACTGTTGAGTCTTTAAAATGCCATGCTTTCAAAAAAGTTATCACCTACAAATTAAATTTCACTGCCAAGCTTAGCAGACTGTCATCTTCTAATACCTTAAAATACTATTTTCCCTATTTATCTAAGTAACTAATTACATCTTTTCTTTTGTGCTAGTACTAGGGCTTGAACTCAAGGCCTGGGCACTGACCTTGAAATCTTTTTCTCAAGGCTAGAAACCTACCACTTGAGCCACAGCTCCACTTACAACATTTTGTGGCTAAATGGAGATTCAATAGCCTCTTGCTCAGATTGGCTTTGAACCCCTATCCTAAGATCTCAATATGGATAGCCAGGATTATGGCCATATCTTAAGATTGTTGGTTATCAATAATGAAGGCTTTGATATTTATTCCTGAAGATTAAGTAGGAGAAATAAAATTACTTTTCTTCTGTTTTGCTGTATGATAAAAGTAAATACTGTACTTACAAGCTATACTCCCAACCCAAGAAACAAAATCATAAAACAGTAAATGTTCAGCAGCCATTTGGCTCTGAAAACTCTACTCAATTTATTAAGAATAAAACTATGTAGCGATTACATATGAAATGAAGAATGTTATAATTAATTATACTAGCTTTCTATAAATATTGTTTGAGGTATTTCATCTCCCTTTACTTGACATTATTTTAATATACCATTCATATTATGTCAATACTTCACCCAAAATGTTAAAGTGTTCTGCCAATTCTAATAGGCAACAAATAAGTCTGAAAGGTAATTTAGTTGACTCACTCTTCTTTTAAGTGTGACTCTGATTTTTGATTGATTAGTTATTAATCGAACAGGAGCACACATAATTTCAAGATGTGAACTTTGGGTGGCATCCGCCTCTATTCGAATCATCTGCCAATTCATTTCTTTAAATGTCAAAACCTAAGGAGAACACAGAGATTAGCTTCACATAGGCAAAGTAAAATAAGAAAAATATACATTCATATAAAAATAAAATACTATCTTCCCAACTAATTTTCATATTCTATATATTCATCAAATTGCATTTAATTGTATACTTCTATCAAATATATGATCATAATTATATTCATCATTTAAAAAATTACACATTAATACTTTTATTCTAAGACATTTGACACAAGGTATAAAAAGCACTTGAATCATGGCAAAAATGTACTATAAATGTAATGTATTTTAAGACATTTTAGTTTTGTAAACTCAAATTCAATAAAGCGAATTACACTGTTTTTGTGGTTTTTTGGTCGGTCATGGGTCTTGAACTCTGAGCCTGGGTGCTATGTTGGGCTTTTCAGCTCAAGGCAAGCACTCTACCAGTTGAACCACAGTGACACCTCCAGTTTTCTGGTGATTAACTGGAGATAAAAGTCTCACAAATGTTCCTCTCTGGGCTAGCTTTGAAACATGATCCTCTCAGATCTCAGCCTCCTAGAATTGTAGGTATAAGCAACCAGTGCCTGGCATGATTATTTGATTAAAAAACACTTTTGTGGGCTGGGAATATGGCTTAGTGGTAGAGTGCTTGCCTAGCATGCATCATACCCTGGGTTTGATTCCTCAGTAGCATAGAAACTGAAAAAGGCAGAAGTGGCTCTGTGGCTCAAGTGGTAGAGTGCTAGCCTGAGCAAAAGGAGCTCAGGGACAGTGCCCGGACCCTGAATTCAAGCGCCGGGACTGGCAAAAAAAAAAAAAAAAAAAAACCTTTCCTTTTGCAGTACTAGAATCAAATCCAGAGCCTTGCACATACATGCTACGCAAGTTCTCTATCACTAAGTCCTCAGCAGTAAAATATAACTATTTTAAATATTTTTATTTAATTCATTACTAAGACATTTTAAAAAAGAAAATGAATTTTTACCTCTCCTCTCTGTGGATCTTGAATACGAGTAAATCTTAAATCTCCATGTTCCCAGTTTGCATTTACACTGTAGATCCTTAGCTGAGAAAGTTCAAAGGATGCATTGAAGGCTTTTGCTCCTATTCTGATGACAATAGAATTTACAGAAACAGTAATTCCCTCAACTACTTTTTCAGCAAAGCCATATTCACTAAAAAAAAGAAAAACAGATACAATGCATTAAAGTCAAAGAAAAAAAAATTATAAATACACATATTTAAAAACATTATAAATACATACACAAACCGCCTTAATAGTATATTATTCATATTTGTTAGAAAAAGAACAAATCTGTTTCTATTAAAACAAGAAACTGATTACATATAAATTATAAAAATGTTCCTTTCGTCAGGCACCAGTGGCTCACAGCTGCAATCCTAGCTAACCACCAGAAAACCGGAAGTGACACTATGGCTCAAGTGGTACAGCACTTGCTTTGAGCTGAAGAGCTGAGGGCAGCACCCAGGCCAAGAGTTCAAGCCCCATTACTGACAAAAAAAAAAAAAGTTCCTCTCAAGCCAGGCTTAGAGACATGTAATCACAGCACTTTGAAGGCTAAGGCAAGAGAATCACCTGTTCAAGGCCAGTCTAGACTTAAAACAGTGATACCTTCTTGTGTTCCAAAGAAAAGTATTGGACAAAATGTACAAGATTTTTTTTTAGTTTACTAGAATTAATATCTACAGCTATTCATTCTCAAAAAGCCTTAGTCAATTAGCATCTATAAAGTAAATGAGAGTTCAATTCGTAAGAAGGCTACAGAGTCCAGCTGGAGTGTAATATTATAATTTAAGATCAGAAAAATTATACATTCTCTAATTCAATTCAACAAATTCCATGTGAATGAAGCTTAAACACAGAAAACATTAGTTGCAGTCTTACAGGGCTCACAAGTAACTGAAATAGAAATGGTCTGAAGTTAACATTTTTTATTTATGTCCTGTCACTTTTAGTAATAGAGCTGACTATAGAAAAGAATACCCTTTTGGCAGTCACACAGATTAAAGGACATACCTTACCTTTGTCCTGAAGCAGTTGCAATTGGTGATGGACCATTTGGAGCACGGGGCTCTTCACATGTACTCATTTCCATTATTACTTTATCTAAAGACTAATAAAAATGTTTTTTTTTAAAAGTAAATAAATAGGTATTTTATTTTATGTGTATTCATGAAAGTAGTCAGACTATTTTCTCTTTTGTTTTTTTAGGAGCAAACTAGTTCTAAAATTGCCAAAAAGGGAAACAATATATTCAGTCCTAGCTCAAGCATTTAGTATATGGTGCAAAAACTGTACATGAATATTATATATATACGGGAGAAAAAATTCAGAAGATGCCACTGACCAATGAGATCACTGTATTTTATGAAATTTCTGAGGCCATTATGTGTAACATATTAGTTAATAAATTATATTAGGAGAACTGAACCACCTCTAAAAAGTTTAGCTCAACCTGAGACCTGAAATATAAGATATAAAACTAAGAAAAATTATGAAATAAGCAGAAAATATAAACAGTCTCCTAATGGAAAAAGTTCTTTCTCAGGTTAAGATTTAAATGTCTTTTCAGGACAAGAATTAAGGAAAGATCTATGGAAGCGAAAGTATGGTTCACGTGGTAGAGAAAATTTCAAGCAGCAGCATGAGGCCCTGAATTCAAACCCCAGTTCCAATTTTTTTTTTAAATTAAGATCCAATGTCCTTAGCAATTCCTGTCATTTCTCATTCTCCTTACACTGAGAGCATTTATCATTATCTGAAATTATTGTTCTATTTGTATTCAGTTTCCTCTATTAAAATGTAAGTTCCCTCAAAACAAAAACCAAATACTCAAAAATATTTATGGACTAGAATTGAGTGGTAGCTCAGCTTAGCACTAAACTCAGCTAGGCCCTGGATTTAATCTTCAACACCAAAAAAAAAAAACAAAAAACAAAAAAAAACCTTTGTGGAACTAATATATCAATAAATGATATTATTAACTTTCTTCAATTTTCCCTAAAAGGCAAAGTATATTAAAGAATATGTTACTAAATTTACTAGGCCAGCAAAAACAAATGTTATTAAAAGAATTTCACAATAAATCAATTATGAGTTATAATTCTGAGGATCTCAGTTTGAAGCTACCAGGGCAGATAAACCTATGGGACTCTTATCTGAACCACCAAAAAGTTGAAACTGGAGACATAATTCAAAGGGTAGAGCCTCAGCTTTGAGTGAAAAAGTGGAATGAGAAAGAGAGCAAAGCCCTAAGTTCAAAGCTTCAGTTCTGATATCTCCCACCAAAAAGAGGCTTAGAGTTAAATAATTGCCAACTTAAAACATGATATTCTTGACCTGATAAGCTTTAAATATCCTCTATTTAAAAATTTAAACTTGTCTACACTACATGAATGTGCAAAATGTTTAGTATAAAACACCCTATAAATTGATTAGAGGGTGGGAAAGTTCATGCCTGTTAACTGCAGATAGCTACTCCGGAAACAGACTAGGAAAACGACTGTTCCAGGTCAGCCTGACCAAGAAAATTGGCAAGATTCCTATCTCAACAAAAAAAAAGAGTTGGGGATGATGACTTGCACCTGTCATTCCAGCTGTGTGGGGAGTATAAGTACAATTGCTGCCCAGTCTGATCTAAGCAAAACCACAAGACCTATATCTCAAAAATAACCAAATATAAAAGGACCTGGTATGGGTTCTAGTAGTAGAATAGCTACCTAACGATTGCAAGGCCTTCAGTTCAAACTGCAGTAAAAACAAGAGCAGGGTAGAGAGGTATAGAAAGCTCAATAGAGGGGGTAAATGTGGTCAAAGCACATCATATGCATGTATAGAAATACCAAAATAAATCCCTTCATATAACTAATGTATGCTAATAAAAACTTTTAAAATAAAATTCAAACTTCTCATACAAGAACTGAAAAAAATAAATCTAATCAAAATAAGAAGGAAGCCAATGGATGCAAAATCCAGGAAACAGTTTATGAAACAAAAGATTAATATCAACAGTAGTTAATTTGAATCTATAAATGCTTGTTCTTGAGTAGGTTTCAGAACTCACCAAACAGATGGGATGTGTTTTCAGTTTTGTCCATGGGATCTACAAATAGAAATTGTTTCTTTAAAAAATATATTAAAAAATAATGCAAAACAGGTTTACTATATACAGTGACAGAAACTTACATGACTTTTTTCATAGACTAAAATAAGCAGAGCAGCTGATCTGTACTTTTGAAATTAGATATATCACTTTCATGATCAGCCTATTTGTGCTTTTGAAATTAGATGTATCTATTTTATGCAAGAAAATATTAGCTATATTTCCTTAGCCAGCTATTTAAATAAGAACTTTAATTTCTTTTAACTATCTATTCTCAGGCCTTAGAACACATTTTAATTTTGTAATTTAAATAAGAGTTCTCAGCTGGTGCGGGGCAAAGTGGGGGGGGGGGAGGGAGGGAGGGTTCCGGCCCTGGAATGGGAGGGCAGGGATGGTAAGGGAAAACAAAAGAGGAGGCAACAATGCTTGATAAGAAATGTACTCATTACCAGGGCTGGGAAGGTGGTTCAGTGGCAGAGTGCTTGCCTCAGTGGCAGAGTGCTTGCCTTGCATCATGAGGCCCTGGGTTCGATTCCTCAGCACCACATAAGCAAAAAGAAAAAAGCCGGAAGTGGCGCTGTGGCTCAAGTGGTAGAGTGTTAGCCTTGAGCTGAAGAGCTGAGGGACAGCGCCCAGGCCCAGAGTTCAGGCCCCCGACTGGAACCCCCCCCCAAAAAAAAGAAATGTACTCATTACCTTGATCATGTAATTATAGCCCCTCTGTATGGTATTTTCACAATAAAAAAAAAACTTATTAATAAATAAATAAGAGTTCTCAGGAAGGCTGTTCTCTCATTAAACTGTTTAATCTTAGAATTTTGAATAATATCTTGGTAAACATTTTTAAAAATCCAAAAGTATTATCATTAATATAAAATGTAATAATATCAAATAAAGTTTAAATAAACCCTAAAATAAAAATGTCACTTTTGGGGGGGGGGGTCTGTTGATTGTGGGGCTTTAACTCTGGGCCTGGGCGCTGTCCCTCAGCTCTTCAGCTCAAGGCTATCGCTCTACCACTTGAGCCACAGCACCACTTCCAGTTTTCTGGTGTTTTATTGGAGATAAAGAGTCTTACAGACTTTCCTGCCTAGGTTGGCTTTGAACCGTGATCCTCAGATCTCAGCCTCCTTAGTAGCTAGGATTACAGGTGTGAGCCACCAATGCCTGGCTCAAATGTCACATTTTTACATATTTCAGTTTATGGAAAGTAGCACCAAAAGGAAATAGTATCATCTCCTCTATATCTTTCCTAAGGAAACCAATTTTTAATTTTATGGAAAACATCATCATACAGTATTTTCCACTAAGTAGACTCAATTTAAGTCTGGTCTTTCAGCGCAAGATATGATACAAATTTACAATGGCTACAATCAAAAACAAATAAGTGGTTCTATGGCTCAAGTGGTAGAACGCTTGCTGAGAAACAGCATCCAGGCCCAGAGTTCAAGCCCCATGACCAGCAACAACAACAAAAAAAAGAGTTCCTGGTCTTTCACTTGTAAATAAGCTGGGGTGATGATAATGACAATGATGTCAATGATGATTAATAATAGAAAATTTGAAACATAAAATGAATAAAGTTTGAGCAAAATTAAAATAAAATTAATTGACTTAACTTATATTTGACTTAATATATATTTTAAGACACATAGCCAAAAAATTTTCTCCTAAATTTCATTAATAAAATGCTTCTTTATGGAATTATCTATCATAGTATTTTAAAGAAGACAAATGAAAGAAAAAAATGCAAACAGAAAAGGACCTCCATAAATATTAAGGTCTTACCCTAATGGATGCTTTATTACAAAAAACTTTGTTGATAGCAAGCCATGTGGGCAAATCCAACATATTCTGTAGCACCTCTTCATCTAACTCCAAATTCTTCAGTTCACCTTCTCCTTTAAGGGTACTTAGATTTATCTTGTCAGGAGATAAATTTTTGGTAAATCTGAAAGACAATATGTGTTTCATTTAGTTTTATTATCAGTAACTATACTTCCAAGTCACCCTTGCAAATATAAATAATCATTAAAAATATATCAGCAAAGCCGGTGAGCCGGTGGCTCACACCTGTAATCCTAGCTACTCAGGAGGCTAAGATCTGAGGATCACGGTTCAAAGCCAGCCAGGGCAGGAAAGTCCGTGAGACTCTTATCTCCAATAAACTACCAGAAAACTGGAAGTGCAAATGATAAAGCACTAGCCTTGAGATGAAGAGCTCAGGGACAGCATCCAGACCCAGAGTTCAAGCCCTATCCAGAGTTCAAGCCCCATGACCAACAACAACAACAACAAAAGTTCCTAGTCTTTCACTTGTTTTGAAATTCACTGGGGTCATTTACAAGTCCTAAATGTTTACAAGAATACCAGTCATTCATTACACACATGCTTCTCCATCAACTCAAAACCAGGAATTTCTTTTTTTTTTTTTTTGGTCGGTCGTGGGGCTTGAACTCTAGGCTTGGGCACTATCCCTCAGCTCTTCAGCTCAAGGCAAGCGCTCTACTGCTTCAGCCACAGCGCCACTTCCGATTTTCTATTTGTTTATTGGAGATAAGAGTCTCATGGACTTTCCTTGACCGGGCTGGCTTTGAACCGTGATCCTCAGATCTCAGCCTCCTGAGTAGCTAGAATTACAGGAGTGAGCCACCAGCGCCCGGCTAAAACCAGGAATTTCTTGCAATAGATTCTACCTAAATTTATATCTCCTCACAGAATGTCAACTAGAAATACAAAGTCCACTTTTAAGCTAGATTTGACCAATAATATTAGGTTGTATTACACTTCCCAGTAAATCATGTTTGATTCAATATGGTGATGGTGCAGTGATTACCATTCCTAAACATAACTTAAAAACAAACTCCTTCTTTAAGGCTGAATACTGACTTGGCTACAAAGAAGCAACCAATATATATTTATTGAGAATTCACTATTCAGACATATGCACTGATAAGCAGTACATTCAAGGTTCCTGTCCATTCTAATGGCATTTTCAGTTTAAGGAGACAAAAAAGTCAAATAGCATGAATTAGAAAGAATATTACAAAATGGACATGGTCTCCCTGATATGTGGATGTTAAATCCAAAATGTAAGGAGATATGACAAAGTAAACAGGACTCAAGAAACAAAGGACATCTATTTAATTTGTCATATAATGTCTAAATGACTCCAAGTTCTTGACCCCATATATGGTGTGTGTGTGTTTGTGTTGCATGCATGCGCACGTGAGCACGTCTAAGGGAAGCTAGGAGGAGGGCAGAGAATCAGAGGGAAACAGGAAAAATTACAGCAGAGGACCCATCAGCTGAACTGGACATTGATGAAAATAAATTAAGCAACTCAAGGGCAGCAATGGGAAAGAGGGAATGAGGGAGAGAGGGAACGGCTAACACTAAGCAAAAGGAAAGAAATGTACATATCACCCAACATAGAAGAAATAGTTGTATTGTCAAAGCTTATAGAATTCACAAATTTTATAGACCAAGATAATGACAATTTACCTTGTGAAAGTTAAAATGTGTTTGTGACTTTAAGTATCACTATCCTACAATACTGTGAAATTTGAGAAATCAATGTAATCACTTAATCTCAATAAAAAAAAATTAAAAAAAAAGAATATTACAAGCCAGGTGCTGGTGGCTTATGCCTATAATCCTTGTTACTAAGAAGTCTGAGATCTGAGGACCATGGTTCAAAGTCAGCCCAGTCAGGAAAGCCTGTGAGACTCTTTATCTCCAAAAAAAACTACCAGAAAACTGGAAGTGGTACTGTGGCTCAAGTGGTAGGTAGAGTGCTAGCCTTGAGGGGAAGAACTCGGGGAAAGCACCCAGGCCCAGAGTTCAAGCCCCATGACCAAAAATAAAAGGATATTAATAGAGGTCCTAATGCAGAGATTCTTTGTGTTACTTTCTAAAAAGAGAGAACTCTTCAGTGCTTATTAAAAGGCACTCGAGATTTTAACATGAACAAAACTGATAAAAATCTACCTTCATGCTAGAAGCTAGTGGTTCACACCAGTAATCCTAGCTACTCAGGAGGCTGAGATCTGAGAATCAAGGTCAAAGCTAGACTTGGTAGGAAGTCCATGAGACTCTTATCTCTAATTAACCACCAAAAAGCCAGAAGCACAACTACGTGGCTAAGGGACAGAGTCCAGGTCCTAAGCTCAAGCCCCAGGATCAGCACACACCAAAAAAAACTACCAGTTCCATGAGGCCAGGATCATCTCTCTGTATATCCCCTAAGCACTTAACATAGTATGTAGGACATACTGAGAACTCATTAGACATGGAAATGGAAGAATGAAGACTGTCTATTGGGAACATTGTGTCCCTAACCCCAGGTCTACGAGCCCAAGACACAAGGCAGAGTTCTTATAGATTGTAATTCATGGTCATAGTTAGCAGACTCCAGGAATGCCAGTTCTGTAAGTAGATGCATTGACAGAAAGTTTATAAACTCCATTTTGTAGAAAGAAAAGGAGAAAGATATTTCCTAGTATTTCAAGTGATTTTCACACTCTGGGACATAAAAATACTTCCCTTTATACCTTAAGAATAAATATCTTGACTACTGAATAGCTCAAGTGGGAGATTAGACTGAAAAATATTTCCAAGAAATAGCAGTCCGCTTACTACTACCTACCACCTGTAATTAACATCTTGTATAGTACTGGGACATACTGAGGATTTTCGATCTACAATTTATAAATGTAGTTGTGTGATTTCTGATATACATATACATTTCAAATTTAATGTCAAGTGGCAAGGGCACATTTAAAATTAAAAAAAAAAAAAGTTCTGCAACCGTGTTTACCATTGTTGGCTTTCAGACACATTTATATACACTTAACTTCTCATTACTTTTGTCAATCTGGCTAATTAAGTGCTTTACTGTTGGAAGTGGCGCTGTGGCTCAAGTGGTAGAGTGCTTGTTTGAGCTTAAGAGCACAGGGACAGTGCCCAAGCCCAGAGTTCAAGCCCCATAACCAACAAGAAAAAAAAAAAAAAAGTGCTTACTGTTGCTTTGTTGTTGTTGTTTTTAAAGTACTTTTAATTCTTTTAAGTTCACTTTAGTACATCTCTTCTACCCATTAAGACCCAATTTAGAATTTATATCCAAAGCTATTACTGATGGCTTACACTTGGAATCCTAGCTACTAAGGAAACTGAGAACTGAGGATCAAAGTTTGAAGCCAGCCTGGATAAAAATGTCATGAGACTCTTATCTCCAATTAACCACCAAAAAGCCAGATGTGGAACTGTGGTTCAAATGATAGAATGCCAGCCTTCAGTAAAAAAGTTAAGTGAGACACAGGCCCTGAATTCAAGTTCCAGTAATAGAATGCCTGTGTGTGTGTGCGCTTGTGCGCGCACAAACACACACACACACACACACACAATTCTGATAGTAGAGCTGCGGCTCAAGTGATAGAATGCTGGCCTTGAGTGAAAAGCTAAGAGACAGTACCCAGGCCCTGAAATAAAGCCTAGGATTGACACGGAAGAAAGAAAAAGACAAAGAAAGAAAAAGAGAGAAAGAAAGGAGAGGGGGGAGGGAGGGATATAAAAAAGGAAGGAGGGAATATATATCCAAAATTATATTTTTATAACTCTCTGAAGCCCTAAAGATAAACAAAAACTATTTAAAAATGGGGTGAATCTACCTATTTACCACATGTCCATGAACCATGAAATTTCAAGAAACTAAAGTTTTTATTTTTATTTTTTTGCTAATACTGAGGCGTGTCCTTTCTACTTCCACTAATGCTTTTAGTACTTCAGTCACACCTTCACTTCCAGCATTCTGCTGATTAAGTGGGGATAAGAGTCTCTTGAATTTGTCTGCCAGAGCTGGCTTTGAACAGAGATCCTAAGCTCTCAGTTAGGATTTTAGGCATGAACATCAGCACTTGGCTTAGAATAAAATTTATAATTCCCTTTTATTACCCAAAAGATTATATAGTTTTACAGAGTTGTCACTAGGAACATCAATATATTGTATAAATAAAGCTAAATATTTACTGCCAACATACTGGTACTATTTTTCATTCTGTCTGCCCTAACGACTGCTTTACCTGTAACACTTTTCATAAAACTTGAGGTTAATTTTAATTTTTGCACTCATCAAAAAAGATACTAACTTTTGTGTAAGAAAAGGAAATAAGAAGATATGAACAGCTCTGTCATTATGAAAAGAAGAAAAACCAGAAGACAATGAAAGTGAAACCTAATCAGGGTGAGAGAGAAAAGGATAGGGTAGCAGAGATTTAAAAAGGAGTGATACTATTTTCTAAGTAGAAAATACTATTCTAAAATTAGAAAATAGGGCTGGGAAGGTGGCTCAGTGGTAGAGCGCTTGCCTTGCATGCCTGAGGCCCTGGGTTCGATTCCTCAGTACCACATAAGCAAAAACAAAAAAAGCTGTGGCTCAAGTGGTAGAGCGCTAGCCTTGAGCTGAAGAGCTGGGGGACAGTGCCCAGGCCCAGAGTTCAGGCCCCATGACCGGACCCCAAAAATAAATAAATAAATAAAATGAAATAAAATAAAATAAAACTAGAAAATAGTAAAATTATTTTTAAATAATTTTGATTTTTGAAAGACATACTAATACTCTCTATTTGTAAAATAAATAAATAAATAAAAAATAGCCAAATATGTAGTATATATCTATAATCCCAACACTTGAGAGACTGAGATAGGAGGATCACAATACAGCAAGATTCTGTATCAAAGTAACTAATTAGTCAATTACATTTAGTGAGAAGAGTATAAATAACCAAAAACAGAAGTAAACTGAAATAAATGAACCTAATCGTATTTCAGAAACACCGTAACATGGTGGATAAAGGAAAGGAAGGCGAGGGTCTCCTATCATTATGAAAAGAAATGAAGGCAGGCAGACAGCACAGGGTACATGGTTGCTAGGGACAGGCAGAGTATACGTTC